CCTGCTGAAGATCAAAGCCTCTTTGCTGCGTCTGAGCAGTATTTTGTGATTCTAATTTGGCCTTTGCAGGCCAGAATCATGGCCATTTTGCATCACATCCCCATCACAAAACTTCCATCTCATCAGGGCCTTCCTAAGAGAGAGTGCTGATGTAGCCATTGTTCAGTCCATCTGGGTGTCCCTGTGACTCCTGGCTGCTCTGGATGTTTTCTGTCTAGGTTTGAAAGAAGGTTGTATTTCTTCAGCTGCGTAGAGTAGAGAATGTTCTTTTACCATGGCATTGTATAAGCGACCCTAAGTCCCACCATACTTCATCTTGTTCTTACTGAATTGTCATAGATGCAATGCACTGTTGCTGTGTCTTTGCCTTTACTTCAGATGAGTTTATTGTAAAGATTTTTGCTTGAAATTCACTTGTAAGCTCCAACTGGTATAAAGAATGTCTGGCCCCAAAATGTGATAAGCCACTTACTTGTGCTCTCATTGCACTGAATACCTATTCATTTCAGGGTACAGAAGGAATATTTTGAATTAATATATGGGAGTAAGTTAAATATGCAATATTTAAAGTTTGCTGAGAGACATGTAAGTCCTGTTTCTTAGAGCTGACCCCCGAATGTATAAAATAAGTAGTTGAGCGTTCCTGTCATTTAAAATATGTTTCTCTTTTGATTATCAAGGAGGCCAAATCAAATAGATTGTAAGGGTCACTTTAAAATCCGATAGCTTATTTGATTGCCATGGTGATTGTCACAGTAGATCTAATTATGTTTATGCCTCTCATTATGATTGGCAAATACAATTTATTGGAGTTAACGTTACAGCCTCACTGTTATGCCGCTCCAGTACATCAGAAGGGACATTATTATAAATAGATGATATTCATGGAGGTGGGAAGATTGCTAAGTTATTACTGTGCTGCTTTGAAGATACCAAACTGTCATTGTTCTCAGCTCCCTATTTTAACTACCAGTGACATTTGTGTTAATATCCCCACATGATATTTAGGGTTTTTTTCTTACTTTGGGCAAAAGTCTGAGAGAAAAATTTGTGTTGAGTGTCTTGTTGAGAAGGAATCTTTACAAGTATAAAATTTGTTTTTTGAAAGATGTTGCTAAAGAAAGATGAAAACCAAAGCCGCAGCAGTAGATAAAGCCTTTGTCATCTAAAAAGAGAAGCTACTATTATTTAAGTAATTGAAACAATCTTATGTGTAGTGAAAAGTCAGAATACAAGGAAGATTTCAAGTAAAATGCAGGCTTTTCCAGAAGCTAAAGAAGTGTGCTGAGGGACAGGAGATTGGGACCTCTTCAGCAATCTCTGTGGCATTTTTTCTATCCATTCTTGACCAGAAAGCTAGAGGCACGACATATCAGTTCATAAATCGTGCAATGTAGTAAACTTTTTCCCTGTACCCACATTAAGAAAAATAAATACAGAAATACTTTTTAATTGATGCACAAGGTATCTCCCCACTTTCTCCATCAGGTGGAAACCATTGATTCATAGGACCATAGTTACCTCTGCAGTATTACCTTGAGTATGTTTCACAATAGAAGACACCCTGAGGCATACTCTGCCCTGGCAAAGGGTTGTCTCAGAAAGTATAGCAGGAAATCTAGTTCACAGAGATGTACTCTATACTGTCAGAAAAGTGCTTCCAGCAATGAAGCAAGTACTGCTTCCCCAGGCAAAATTATGACACACCGGCAAAAAGACAAATTTTACCGGTTATAAATTGTATTGAACAAGGGTTTATAGCAGTCTGGAATGGTCTTAAAATGATACATTAACTGATATTGTTATACTGAGTGAAGTGTTGAGCCTGGTTTGAAATTGCAGGAAAGCAATCCAAACTCATCATCAGAACAGGATGACAAATTATCTCTGATATGTTTATTCTAGTTGTCAGTTGGACTTAAATGAGGGATAGACTATTGACTATCTTCTACTAAATCACTGAGACAATGGTGTTCAGTCATTCCAGCAATGTCTCTATGCAACAAAGTTGCAGAAAATTTAATTGTGAATGTGCCAAGAACTGTTGGAAGTTCTGTCTTAAATATGACCCTAATTCCAACAGCAGCTGGGCCCCAGTGCTTTTATCAACAAGCAGGAAAGCACACACCGATGCATTCCATACCAGGGCGCCGTGCACATCTCACGGTGTTCTCTGCAGTAAAAGGCCTATTGGCATGTACTCAACCAAAATTGGAGATAACTACAAATAGATGGAGACGATCTCTAATAGATCAAAAACAATGTCGACCTCCTGCAATAGAGAACAATATATGTAGATTTTCTGATGGCCATTTAAGATGTTATTTCATTTATAAAATGACTGTAGTAGTCACCTATTGATTGGGAATGGAAAGACTGAGCTGTGTGGACTTTAGGCGGAAATTTTGCAACCTTAGCATGGTACCTAATTTATTCAGTTGCTATTCAAAGATAACAAAAATCAATCTCTTCACACCTCTTGAAAGAAAGCATGCGCTATAGAAAACTCCCTCTAGCCAGATCAGATAGGCTGTGTTTTCAAGCAAAAGTAATGCTTGTACCAGCATAATAAAGAAAATACTGTAATTTCAAGAAACTCTAATAAGTTTTTGGTACCTCTTCTTGACTTCTAAGTTTCTCTTGGTTATCTTCTGCTATTTACTTTGAATGGGCTAGATATCTAACCTGGCTTTGGTAAATGGAATGGGCATATCCTTTAAAGTGAAATCTGTATGAATTACAGTCTTTTCTGGCTCTGTGACTTTCTTTATAGACTTGCACAAATCATCCAATTTCTGTAATATCACTGTGAAGTCAGCTTTTAGCAAGATTTGAGCAGGAAAATGTGATTCCATTTCAATGATTATTTTGCTATTGTAAGATATAGTTTTGTTTCATTTGGGAATGAAGACAGTTTCTGCGTCACTTATGAAAGCAGACGCAGTCCATCTGTCTTGGAGAGGTTTGCCCCTTGCAACTACTGCCGATCAGGCAGGGTGCTGAGGAGCTGGGAGTATGAGTTGCTGGAAGACAACATGATTTTTTCTAGGAAAATCACTTTTCCAGAACTCCTGGGGTTGGAGGACACCTTAGCATTGGCTGGATTACCGAGTCTGGTGTTTTTTGAAGTGCTTTAAATATTGTAATCAAAGTTTTTAATATGGTACCAGTCTGAGACCAGTATGTAAAGGAACTGCTGTTTTTCAGAGCTTTGATAAGTTTAAGTAAATTGAAAACCAGGAGTTTCTGCTAATATAGATACCTCAGTTCATCTTAATGCTTATCTCAGGCACTGCAGTTTGAGCAAATTGATTAAAGTCTCAAAGCTGAGATTGTATACATGGAGGATATTAATGGCATAGTAAGATTACTCTGTGATGCAGCAGGCATTCTTACCTCTTTTTTTACATACATGGACTGAAGTCCTGTGAGAAAGTTTTAACAGCATCTCACCAGGCTAACCCTGGAGTTTGCAAGGGATTGCAGGAGGCAGTGGAGGTGAGAGAGGCAGCAGTGCTGCCTGCAAGGGCAGAACACTCTCCTTAACATTGCATTCATTTCAGGGACGTGCATGGCTATCAACTCCTGCCAACCCGAGGAGGAGCAGCACACTGATCTGCCACATTTTTACATTTCCTAAAACTAATTGTCTTTTAATATTTTCATAACTCTAATTTTTTACTTATCTGCAGCTGAAGTTCAAAGTGAAATTGAACGGATTTTTGAGTTAGCAAGGACACTGCAGTTGGTAGTGCTTGATGCTGATACCATTAACCACCCAGCTCAACTAAGCAAAACCTCTCTGGCTCCCATTATAGTATACGTAAAGATTTCTTCTCCTAAGGTAAATATTTTACTGTTACTCATACTGTGTCAGTCTTGGTTTTTTAACCCTTTTTTTTGGATCTTAAATTCAGTTTATAATATGTCCTCATTAATGTTGAGCGCTATATATGGTTATTGCTTCCCTTTGGATGTTGAAATACTAATCAAAGACTGTATCTTAGTTTTAGTGTGACTGAAACCTATATTAGAAAGGAAGCTGTAGCTTCAATGTTTTTTTAAATTGGGATTACACTTTTAGTATCAATCACGTAAGTAATGCTAACAGTTTGTTAAATCAAAATAATGCAGAAATGTAAGAAATATTTTCACATAATGCATATCAGACTGATTGGTAAGCTTTAACATCTTAATGATAATATACTCTTTCATTCTGTGAAAAAAACCCTGCACAGACCTTGTGAAGAGGCATTTGAAAGAGAACAAAGTTATGGGAAGAGAACTCAGGAGAGCAATCAAAGAATTTCAACTTAGAAACAAACAAAACCAGAAGCAGCAGAGGAGAATCGGAGGGGAACTTTTTAGTGCTCATAACAGGAAAGGAGATGTTGGAAAGTAGATGAAAATTAGCTTGTTCTGATGTAAACAGCATGGAAATGCTCCTAAAGCCTGAAGAATTTGATCTGCTCAAGTGGACAGTTAAAAATAGAAACTTTTAAAGTGTTTATGTACATACATGAAGTCCAAACCTGCTCATTTTTATTAATGTCTTATTTTTCACAGGTTTTACAGAGGCTAATAAAATCTCGAGGGAAATCTCAGGCCAAACACCTTAATGTTCAGATGGTGGCAGCTGATAAACTGGCACAGTGTCCTCCTGTGAGTCACAGTTAATTTATGTCTCATCTTTGAAATGTGCCTTTCTTTTTCAAGTATGAGGTTAATTACCTAATTTCTGGGAATGTTTGCCCTCTTCTGGCCATATTTCACTATTGCTTTTCTGCAGAATACCTCTTGAGGTGTCTGGGCTCTGCACAAGTGTGAAGGGAAAAAACAGTTCTAGGCACAAGCAATTATTAGGATGTGTGCTGATGCATTCGCTGCTTAAACAAAGTGAGCAGTTGTTTAAAGTGATAATTATTTTGGGGTTATTTGGCTAAAAATGAACCCTCTTGGTAACAGTGCTTTATCTCTGGCAGTTTAGGGTAAGGCTGGTAGTTTGAGTAGCTCCCCCGGGGCATATGTCACCACAGCCCATCACGGCTGGCATTCTTGGTCACAGTTTTGGCAAAGAACTTTATGGTACTGTGTAGCTGAGAGCTCTGCAGTTCTTCTGTTGATGTGCACTGAAGCAAACGCTATCAATTTACACCTATAAAGTGAAGATGATGAGACCTCAGCTGTGTTTTAAACAGGGCAAGCGTTATTATCTGCATACTCAATTGTCAAGAGGTAAGAGACCAGAAGGCGAAGGGTCAGTTCAGTTGCAGATATGGGAATTTTCCATAGTTCAGAGCTGAGTGAGCGGAATGTTTTCATCGTTTAAGGTCAAGTATCTCAGTGAAGACGCTAGTCTCGTCAGGTCCCCAAGAAATCAGTGAAGAATACTAGAGACCTGCGCAGGCTTTCAAAGCCTCCTTCTGTCTCTCTGACCAGGGAGGGAATGGTGAAAACTCACCTCCTAACCTTAGATGCCTAAACTTAGACTGTGTGACTAATCTCTTACCTAATATTTGTATGACACTTGGAAACTGGATGAGCTGTATTACTCATGTTTCTTCCTGCTGCTAGTTATTGGTGTTAGTCTGTCCCAGTTTTCTCTTAGTTATTGTAGATATAGGGAGTAAATCCCTTTTCTTGCCATTCTGTTTTGTTTTAACAGCTAAGAACTTCAATACTTAGCCTTTTTTTCTGGATATTTGAGTTTTATGATTTGTTCAAGCTGCTTCTTCCTATCTTCATTGACTGCATTACTGGGTGGAAGTCATGAGGACTTGCTTTAGCAAATGTAATATTAGTGCTAGTTATAATTGCTGTCTTTTGTATCAATTGCTTTAAAAAAAGGTGAAATAACACAGATATTAGAAATGTGATTAATTTTTGATGAATGCAGAGTGTGGCCATCAATGTCTCCAGGTGATCTCCCTTTAGCTGGTGGCTATTCTCACTAAAACCTTTCCCTTATCAGGAAATGTTCGATGTAATTCTTGACGAGAACCAGCTTGAAGATGCTTGTGAGCACCTTGCTGACTATCTGGAAGCCTACTGGAAGGCCACACATCCACCTAGCAGCAATCCTCCTAACCAGCTTCTCACTCGCACACTTGCAACAGCCACTCTTCCTATTAGCCCAGGTCCAAATATTAATTTACAGGTACAGTTTTTATGCCATCTTTCCTTTTTTTTCTATGAACTTCTTCCTCTTCCAAAGAACAGTGGTAGTCTGATACTAGAATATGCTGAATGTCTTACTTCTGATAGAGGAAGAGCTTTTTCAGTGCATATTCACCCATTTTCAGTATAAGAGTCAAATACAGGCACATTATTGTTACTACTATTGTATTCACAGTAGCATGTGTTTACATATTGACTAGGCAGCTGGTTTTGATTCCAAGGACTAAGCCAGCCTGACTGAAAACATATGGTGATGTGAAATACTTAAGGTTTTATTGTGCCCAGGACACCACTGTGCCAGTAATATATGTACCAGCCACAAGCATTTTCATAGCTGGCCAAGTGTAATCCAATCAGAGGAATAAAACTGGGCTAATACTATGCACGTTACAGCCTCTGGTAACTCTGTGACTGATGGCCACGCAATCGCTAATAGGCAAATCCCAGCCCCAGAGGCCCTGCATGACAAATTGGGTTATGTACAGAGACGATCCACAAATGTTGGAGGGAATCTGTTCTTAGCTTCTCACAGGCTATGGAGTTGTAGAGGTTGAGAATGACTGACCGTACTAGTGAAGTCACAAGGCACAAGTGGCCCTTCCAGTGTTTCCTTTGTTCTTTTATTGATTGGCCAGTGCTGTGAAAAGTACATAGTTCCTTCAAGCCAAACTCTTACATAAAACCTGAGTCCCCCTGCACAGTGTGCAGAAAGACCTTGAGAGGCAGTGTGTTCTGAACAGCGAGGGTACTGACTAGCAAGCTGGGAAAAACAGGCTTCATTCCCACCTCCACACTGACCTGCCTGTTGACTTTGGGTGTATTGTCTCTTCTCTTTTCTCCTTCAACTTTTGGGTTGAATAATTGTATTAAGGTTTTCAGCATAAGGAAGATGCTGTCCTTTGCGTATGTGTTGCATGGCATGAAATGAGATCTTTGACGATGCTACTTCATTATGAATAGTGAGTGACACCTTGAGGCCGAGAAGATCCCAGTGGGGGTTAAAATACATCTGTCCCAGGTCAAATAATGGCTTACTACTTCTAAATTTCCACCTAAGTTCCACGTATGCCTATAAGTTACCTACATACCAGTCACAATTAATAACTTTGGCTGAGAAAAACACCTCCTTTTAGAAAATCAAAGAAAAGATACATACCTGCCCCCAAATTAAAATGTGGAAAAATTGCTCTTTGTTTTTTATGGTCTTGCAAAACAGTTTTTTTTTGTCAAAGAATTTATTTCGCATTAGAAGACTGCAGATTTGACAGGTTTGTTCTTTAGCAGAAAACCAGCTTCAGCCTCCTTGCAGGGTATCTCCTTCTCTTGCTTTCAAAAGCAATTGCAGGAAGAGAGACTGTAAGCAATAGCTCATTTCTACCTTTTTTTTCTGTCCTCAGAACTGAAACACCCTGAAAAAAATTGTGAGCTGGAAGAATTTTTGAGTATGAAATTCAGTATTTTTGTGTGTAGACTTGCTAGATAAACTTTCTTTGCTTTGTACACTTGTTTATTATTTTGTTCAAGTTTTTCTATGCCTTTTGGGTGTGGATTTATAATTCACTTACTTATTTTATTAACCACATTCTCTAGTGGAACTATACAAAGTTCTAATAACACTTTTCTGAATGTTATGCTATGTCCTTACAAATTAACTATTTTAAGGACTAAAAATGCAAATATATTTGCAGTTTCACAGTTTGTTTGTAGATCTACTAATCCAAAATGTAACGCAGCACAAGTCCCTTGGGACTTAGAACCTTCATGTTCCTTTTGTTTCATTTTCCTATGATACATTTTCAGCTGACATCTCAAACCTGAGCCTGTCATGGTCTTGGCATAGAGTGGGTTTATTTTCTAATCATGATGGTTAAACCCATTCTCTTGATAGTGTTAAGACCCTCTATTTGGAGAATTTAAAGTCAATGCACCATTTTTGTGAACTGCTCTGCAGAGAACTGTGCCACCAAGCATTTGGCCTGGAGGAGCCAAATCCATGCTTCAAAGCATTCGAGTCATTCTCCCCCAGGTCCAATGCAGCACGCCTTTGCCATGAGACATAATTGGGTTTTGTAGGTTTTCAGTCCCAGCTGTATATTGTAATGGGAGATTTGTGTTGCCAGCTGCCAGCGTGGTATCTTTATAGCATGATGCTGACTGTGTGCATTGCATGGCACAAGGTGCTTGAAGGTGTGAGGCCTCCTGGGGCTGAAGACCATACACCTCCAGTCTATCTGGTGGAGAGCTTTGAGGCAAACTGTCCTGACAACTGTTCTCAGGTTTCCTCTTCTAGGGAAATAGTTGGTTAATTCCAAAAAGAAGGCTGGAGCAACCTTACACACATATGGTGCAGGCCATTAGGGACCACTGCATGGAAATAGGGAGCAAGCCAACTTGACTCTGTGGACACAGACCTCTCTCCTCTTTCAGCACTGCTTAAGCTCTTTCCAAGAACCCCTGCTTCTTTGGAATTGCTACCCGAATAATGAAATGAGCTTGTTTCAAACTTCCTCCATTTTAGGCAAAAACCTTACGAGTTGGGACCGTAAAATCCCATTGGTGAATCTAATCCAAATCAGAGCCTTAATTTGGTTATGAACCAAAAGCCAGACCCTAACCCAGATTCAAACATTACCTGCTTAATGTCCCTGTAATATTTAGGGGAAGTTAGTGTCAATGGATTTTCTTATAAAGCACAACAGCTTTACAGCTAACACTGATGTGAAATTGCAGGTATTGGTTCTAAATTTATTCATTGTGCTACTCCACACATACTCATCATAGCAAAGAAGATGCACCTGAATTTGTAAAAGTAGCGTTTTGTTCAAAGCAGGTTCAAATTTTGCATTTGTTCTCAAAGCACAGCAATGATGGTTTTATTAGTCATGATTATATATACATATAGGTACATACTTATTTGGCATTTGACCATATGAGAATTGAAGGGTTTCACATCTGTACCCAGTTTATGTGCCTTAAAAACAGTCACGGTTGTGAACTAACAGAAGTGTGTTTACACATCCAAAGCAGGAATTGCTTTAGACTCCAACTTTTTGCTTGATTTCATTTATAATTCACCTCCATTGAGTCATTCCTGTTCACTTTGAACACATCTATTCATGTTTAAAATTACTACATCCCTTTTCTGGCAAATCATAATCATCTTGAGAATCATAAAAACAAGAAGAAAAAAGAAATTGGACAGCTGTTTCAGTTACCTTGTTCTCATCTATACCATGTGTTTCAAATTAGGAACACATGGAGCAGCCCAGCTAGTTGCTGGGAAGTTTACAGAACAAAATGTTGTCTTAGAAAATGAAGATTTGTCAAATTTATAGAATTGCTAGTTTGAAATATGTTACTTTTTATAAGTTTCTGATAAAATACAGATTTGTTCCTGTCCAATTTCTGTAGTTTTACTTTTTGGGTTGCTAGGAAACCCACCTGCAGGATCTGTGGCTGAAGGACAAAATTTCCTCCTTCCCCTAGCTTTTTTCCACAAAATAGATGGAAAGAAGATATGTCCATGAGCTGCCCCAGAGGCAGTCCTTATTTTTAGACAACTCTGAACATAGGAGGGCAAACTTCAGACTAACTTTGGTAAATTCAGAACACTCTCACAAACAAATGCCTGTATAAGTCTGTGAAAATCGACTTGAATTTTGTGCCAATAGAGACAATTTTGTCTTAATGCTTCACTTCATGTGAGAAAGATTCAATTTCATTATTTCTTAAAATTTTGCAATTGAACTTGAAAAGTCTTTGGCTGTGGGTTGAGAACAAAAGCAGGTTAATGCAATCAAACCCCCAAATGACTTAAATAATGCCACTTGTTCGTTTTGCAGTGATTTCAAAGCATTATGCTGGTGAAGAGTTTGTTATTACCTGGTAATTTTTATTTCAGTCTTTTTAATAGTGGTGTGTTAGAAAATTCTATAGAAAATATAATATCACTCTCCTCCTGCTTTTATTGGCAATGGTCTGTATTCTTGAGCTCTTAAAATTGTGAGGTGAAAGTTTAATTTTTCATTGCCGTGAAGAAATGGAATTATTGCTGAGAAAAACAGAAGGTCAGTGATACTTGTAGTATCATAATACAAACTTTATTCATGCCAGATTCGGTTGCATTTTTTTCTATTAAACATAAAAAAAGCTATGCTAAAAGAGCCAAGGTTTTATACTTCAATTCTCTGCTGGAATCCACCTCCTCAGCCCTCTAAAATCGCTTCCTCATAGTGGCCGTTTTCAAGCAGGCATCTGTAAACTCTTCAGCTGATACGTGCCCTCTTCTGTCATGATATGTCCTCTTTAATTTTTCTGCAGTCTGCCCTGCTTCTGCATGCTTTTTGTCTGGAGTGTGGTAGGCAAATATTCCTAACTGGAATAGTCAGAAACATCACAAGAGACAAGAATGTGTCATAGAAAAACCCAAGTACCACCTTTCATTCTGACGAAAGGAAATGTTTGTATTATAATACTGCATCTTCATTAAAACTTGAATTCTGATTATTTTTTTCTAGTTTAGATTCAAAGTGGATTATTGTGTACTTCAGTTTTATTGGTTTTGTGATCCTTTCTAGATGAATTTGATATTGGGGAATGTTTTTAAATGTGTACTGCATGTATGGGAACTTACTGCTGGTTGTGATAGCAGGGATCTCAAGGAGACCAGAGGAATGACCATTCAGTCCCTGAACGCAGCAGTTCACAAATCGAAGAGGAAGCACGGGTTGAGCCCATCAAGAGATCCCAGCATCGCTCTTCCTCAAGCCAACACCACAACCATCGCAGTGGTGTTAGAGGCCTTTCTAGGCAAGAAACTTTTGACTCAGAAACACAAGACAGCAGAGATTCGGCTTACGTAGAGCCGAAGGAGGACTACTCACATGAGCACGGTGACCACTATGATTCTCACAGGGATCACAATCATAGAGACGAGTCCCACGGGAGCAGTGATCACAGACATAGAGAATCAAGGCATCGCTCAAAGGAGAGGGACCGCGAGCAGGACCACAATGAATGCAACAAACAGCGTAGTCGGCATAAATCAAGGGACCAATATTGTGACAAAGATGGAGAAGTGATATTGAAGAAGCGTAATGACACAGGAGAATGGAACAGGGATGTTTACATCCGTCAGTAACTTTTGCCTCCGTCAGTCTTGTGTTTCTTTGAAGTCTTGTAATGATACCCCTTGAAAATATCTTTGGGTTCTTCATTGCAGAACATATGGTATCCTTCTGTATGCTGATTTGTATTGCTGTTGCTTGCATAGCAATAGCATGAAATAGAATATTCATATACTTATTTTTTTGGTTAGTGCTATATGAATTAGTGTAGTACAACTGAAGCATTCCTGATGTTGTACTACGCCATTTTTCAAGCTGTTTTTTGGTAGCTGCCACTTGAACAATATCTGTTGCCATCAAGGTGGTGTTAGTGTTTTTTAAGAAAAGGTACATTTGATGTTTAATGACTTCCCGTGTATTCAGCAAGCCAGAATCAGCACATAAAAAAAATCTAAAACTTTTTGTCTGCTCTGATTTTTAATTTGTATGCACTTGATTTGCATATTGATTTAAGAGCCCCTCTCTGTTGCTTGTACCTCTGGTGGACTCCATTCGAAGACAGAATTCAGTCTTGCCTTACACACAGGGGGATCATAAGTCAAGATCTATTTTCTATGTACTGGTACTGTGTACTGTATATACAGTTTATAAATGTTATTTCTTGCAGACACCTTCTTACTATATAAGTTTGATCACACTGTTTTAGAGTCCTAATGCCAAGTCAGCAGATTTGCTTTTGAATTACTGGCAACTGGAACTAGCCTCATTTAGGAAATCTGTAACAGTGTTCAATCTAAATACTTCTTCTTCTGTAGCAGAAAGCTTATACTTATTGTAAATACGAATGAGAGCTTGAGATAAAGGGTCTAACTCTTATACCTTGCAAACCCAGTTTTGCATTTTAAATTTACGGTAAAGATACTGAACTTACCACTATAAATTATTCTTCTCTGTAGAGGTCACAAAACCGCAATGGGCACAGCTCAGGTTTTGTTCTGTTGTCAGAATAATAGAGCACATATGGCAGAGGTGTGTATGTGAGCGGGTGGGTGGTGGATGGGCGTACGCGTGCGTGTGCATGTTAGGCAGCAAAGTGTGAGAATCTACTGAAGAAAACAAAGGTTACTCAAAAGCCCAACAGGTCTTTTTCTTCATTCTGTCTATTACATTAAAAATCAAAATTGCAGTCAGGGAATATGAGGGAGTTTACTGACCCAGGTAATTGAGAAAGCATAAATCTGCTGGCTCTTTGTTGAGACTTCAAGAGAGTAAAACCAGGCAAATGTTACTGTGTTTCACTGGAAATGTAAAATCCTTGTTGTTTAGAGTATTTGTTTTAGTAAGAAAAGTTTACACAGCTTGTGGAGAGTTATTTTGTTGGAAAATAAATTTTTGTAGCTTCTCCACTTTTTCTACACTTGCCAGTTCCTCTGCATTCCCACTGCAGCCAGCTCACTGCTTTTCCTTCACCTAAACTTTTGTGATGCTGGTGAGAGCCTAGAAAAATGACTGTGAAAATATTGTTAGGAGCTTGCTAGAGAAAATGCATTGAAATCAAAGGGAGTGAACAGAGTTTGTTTTGCACTGAACACCTGTTGCACTGGTAAGCGGGGGAAATTCACTATTATTTTTGACTGCAGGTTCCATACCCTTGCCTAGTGTAAAAGCTGTTCTGCATCACATGTAGTCTTTGTAGTAACTGTATGAATGAAATACTTTTTGTATTTCCCTGTAAATAGCACATTATATAAAGACTGTAGTGGGATGATAATTAATTTAGCTGGAAGTTCTTTCTATTTATTATTTTAATTTTGGGAATATCAGCATTGCCTGATTTTGAGTATCATTTTAGTGAAATGGGTAAGATACATGGCAGGTGCATGTTTTCTCCAGTCTCCTATTCCAGCATCAAAGCAATTAAGTTTAACTCCCTTAAACATACTCTGTCCTCCCTGTCCCTCTTGCCTCCCTGCCCCCTGATGCTTTATATGCACTTTTTTACAATGATGTAAGAGTGTGAAATTCTACTGTCAGGTATCTGGCCATTTCTCCTGTGCTGCTGACTGTTGTGGTTTTTCAAGGTTAGTATGTGGTTCAAAGCATGAACTGTGGGGACCACAAGGAAGAGGGTATTTTTCTAGAAATTAAATTATAAGCATTTTTCTAAACATCACTATATGACATTGTAGACAAAGGAAGTATAGGTAAGTAGATCTGGTTTATTACTAAATGGATATATAAGAGTATAAAAAAGTTGGCTTTTGATACAAGAGGATTTTCAGGGTATCAGTGGAAAACTATGTTGAAAGGCTTCGTTGTTTGATGCATATCAGATCACATGTAAATGGAAAGAGAAGTTAAAGGAAAGAGAAGTTAAAATGTCTTGCTCTGTGTAGCCTGGCTTTAGCTATTTTACCAGCTTCAGTAAATGCTGTTGTTCCCTACAACTGTTATATGACAGCTGTCCTTCAAGAAGTTACCTATGGATTCCACTTCAATACCTTGACTCTGGGTTTTTTTTCTGTCAGTTTTGGTTTTGAGGTTTTTTTGTGTGTTTGTTTGTTTCTTCTTTTTTACTTTTGCTCCAGAGAGTGTTTGTTTTCCACCTTTCTTAAAGTATTTTTAAAGGAATGTTTGGCAGAATTTCAAAGCACTGAGTAGTGGATGAAAACCATGGAGTGTAGGTAGCCATGTGTAGACAAATAAATGAGAAAATAAAGAGCATAGTCCGAGCCCTAGTATTTAAGTACGGGCTAGATATTGATTTATGGAATATAAATATTACAAAATAAGGCATGTCCTAATCCAACTAATGAATCTTTTTTTCTATAGTGCTGCTAATTATGTACAGACAACATAGTAACACCACATGTATTTCTTAGGCAGACTCACTTAGTAGGTTTTATTAGCCTTGCTAAGATACTTTCCGTCAGTTATTGTTTTATGAGTGACAAATCATGTGTAATGTGAGCTTGTACTACGCATACTGCATAATAGCACCTGCCTGCTGAGCACTACTTTGAAAAGCACTTTAACAGAATTATTTCAGTAAGAAGCTTTAAAAATACTCCAACTGGAGGACATATCAAAGGTTATTGTGATGAAATGTCTTTGCAAGTTTTGCCAATAGAAAATTTAATATTATTGTTTGCATTAGGATACTAATGAGTTCATATTTCTGTATCTGGTTTCAGGAGCTTTGAATCTGAGAAATGGTAAGGGTCCCAGTGAGCTCCAGAGTCGTCTTATGTTATGTGTGGTACAACACAACCTGTAAAATTTCTATTTAAATGAGCTAAAAAGATAATAAAACCAGTGAGACAGAAGGAAAGAGAGGAATTACAAAGAGTTAAGTGATACATAGCTCTTGTTCTATATTTTTCTAAAGAATTTCAGTATATGGAAGGAATGGGATACACTTTAACATTTACATGTATGTATGGTAGATGTTAACCTTATTTTTGTATGTCTTTTCGAATGAATACACATCAGTACTGTTCAGCAGCCCGAGTCTATCCTTTATTAGTTGTTGAGTGTCACACAGCATGGAAGAAAGAATTCTTGAGGAGGGACTGGAGGGGGTGAGAGTAACAGTCTCCAGACCTGTTAAGGGACAGGACAGTGGGGATGAATAAGCAAACAGGTTTGTGCACAAAAGCAGCATCAAGTAGGATTTAAGAGCTGAAAGAAACTATTTTTAAATCTATCCATAAATTACTGCCTAGATATTAAAATAGTCTTCTAGAATACTCATGAATTCATATTCTGTGTCTGGTATCAGGAGTTCAAAATTTAAGAGCTCCACAATTTTTCCTTGTCAAGGTGTAAAATTACATAATTTATCCTAAGGATTTTGCCCCAATTAATGAAGACTGGTTTTAAAGCCACAACGAGTTTGAGTGGTGTGCCTGGTTTCACAGAAATCTGTAACTCTTAATCTATAACCCTTACTGTAAGTAGAGAAGAAGGAAATGAAATTTTACTCATCAAACCCTGAATAAAAGTAGAGAGCTATTTTTACTTCTCCTTACATACCTGGTTACTCACCCCATACATACAGTTCCTGCCTGGGTCTAATACCCTGCCCTTAACACTTACTGTCTTTTATGAATTTGTTAGTAATCACCTTTTTTAAGCTCTGTTGGTTTGTAAAGTCATACTTGCATTCTGTGACACCTGCAGAGGTTTTAATGTGAGCCATCGTTCCCTTAGCTGGAACGCAGTGAGTGGTCTGATTGCTTTTAATCGGTGTCTACCCAAAGTAAAAGAGTTAGTGTAAACCACCTCCTGTGTTAGTTACTAAAGCCTCTTAAAGATTTTTTGGTTCATGGTTACATTTGATTTGTGACTGCTTTAACACACCAGGCTGAAAGCTATTTCCCAGACGCTTTTGACTTTAATTCTATTCCATCCATGAAAATAAAGCACATACATACTGCAAAAAACTTTATTACATAGTCTAGGGGAAGAACAGAAAAATTATTTTGAGTGTAATATAACATTTCTGGTGTACATTTACTTATATTTATTGCTTTATTGCGGATCTTTCACCAATATTTTAGTTCTTCTATTGTCTGTAAAATATGTGGATGCCATTTTTATTGTGAATGTTTTTAATCAAATGTTATTCAATCAAATTTATTGCTTGGCAATTTCTCTATAATTTATTTCTCCACTTTTATATAACGAACTGTTATATATGAGCTTACGGTAGTTTTATAGACAGTTTCTTTTTATAACTTACCACCCTAGAGATGTGTTCCTACGCAGCCCCAAAAAAGATTTGTATCAGATATAATAGAGATTAAGATGGTTCTTCTAACTCATCTGTGTTCTCTTTTCTTACTTTATTCTTGCCACTTTTATCTTTCATGCAGGTAAGCACTATTAAGCACTGAATTCTAGTAGTACAAAATTGGATTTACTCATCAATTTTTTTAGTTGTGAACAATTAAACATAAAAAGAAGGTTCTTTATGTTTTAAACTACCCACTCCAAAGTAATTTCTTGTTGACCACCATCACCACTCTATTTCTTACTAAACTATTTCCTTTTCCTTAAAAAGCATATGAAATCCTATGATCTAAAATTTGGTGGACTCCATGACACTGAAACAGGAAAAAGCTGTATAATAATTTCATACTATACTAGGCTGCCTATTTTAATATCTTTATATTGACAAAGATAAATACTTAGATTTGGCACTATTACTAATCACTATTATTTCTGCAAATAGAGAAAAATACTTTTCAGACTTTCTTAAAGACAGGATCTGATTGCACGCCTAATTATCTATTTTGTAGGGTTAATCTTTAATTACAATGGTAACTTTTTTAATATATAAATATCTCATATAGTATATATATAAATATATACATATATTTAATTGTGCTTCAGCACCAACTGCTGAAGCATAATGATTCAGTGTGTAAAACATTCTTATCAGGAAAGTAATCCTGTTATGTATTAAAAATATATATACACTATCAGAATTGTGACAGTGAGAAAGTATTCCTACACTTCTAGTTAAAGTCACAGTAAGGTTAGAAAAGAAAATAAAAAGGAAAGGAAAAGAAAAGGAAAAGAAAAAAGAAAAGAACAAGAAAAAAAAGAGAAAATAAAAAAATAAAAGGAGAAAAGGCATATATCCAACTTTACTGATCTGATTTAGCCAAGCTTGTAGTCAAAGGAAGGACGCTGGCGCCTTTAAGGGATGATTTGGAGCATCTTAATTGAGTTTCTGTTCTGAGCTGCCTGATAGAGAAGTCTCCCCCGTCCCCACCACCAATCCCTAGTTAACCAACAGAGAGAGGGGCCTAGGGGAAACAGCTGATGCTTTTCCTTTTAATATGCTAAGTGTTCTTTTACGTCTAGGAGTTGACTTTTGCAGAAACAACTCTAGTAGTTAAAGTACAGATATCAGTAATATTTTCAGGTGAAGTCTGGTCTGCAATTACACTGGAATCAAATACAAGTCAGTTATTTTTCTCCCCTCCCATCTCCCCCCTACCCCCAAAACTTCTCATATAAAATCAAGTGAGATCACCTTCTTGAAAAGCCTGTTTATCATTCAAAACTGAAGAAATCTGGGCAGGTCTCAACAAATCTTCCACTCAAATTCATCAATCTTAATTCTTTCAAATTCAGCATTGCAAAATCCTGCTACTAAAACTGGAGGCAAAGTTCCTTACTTTACATGCATACACAAATTTCAGTATATAGTCTATGTGCGCTGATCAATGTTTACAGAATTTGTATATTCTGCAAAAAGAAAATGCTTTTTTACTAGCACTGAGGTAAAGATTTCAACATGTACTTACAATAAAAGACTAATCCCTTTTGTTACCAGGTAATTATTTCAGCCATATTTAGACTAAAAAGACTGCAATTTTATAGTATGAGCTTTCATGATTCTAAATAGGGTATCTATCTCACCTACTACTTATGAAACAAAATTACTTTAAATCTTCTTTAGACATATTGTGGTTAATGGCCAGGAGTGACCAAAAGTAGACAAGTAGTAGACAGGAATTTCATCCTCCTATTATGCTAGTGTAGGCCTTACAGAAGATGTACTAGTCAACCATGGCAGAAGAAGGGATGTTTAAGAACAGCAGAAAACATATGGTATCAAAACATTTATAGCAAATATAAGTAAACCAAACTACTGAGAAACAGAATTGTACAAATTGTTTTGATCGTGAGCAAATGCAAAAGCACTTCTGACAGTATAAAGACAAACTATAAAAGAAGTATCACTCCTTTTAATCCAACCAAATTATTATGTGTGAAAAGACATTTTCCAGAAAATGCTTTTAAAAACTGGAAATTAATAAGTAAAAGGAAAAAACTAAACACACACAGACGTCAATTTATGTTTCTGAATTGTACGTACCTTTTCTAATTTCAGTGCTATTATCAGTTCCAGCAGTACTAAGAAAAGAGAATACTGTTCAAACTGGAACTGAAACAGAATTTTCAAATACATCTAATTTAAGAAATTTAGATTACTAAATCTTTGAGCAGTGTATTAAGGCAGTTCTCATTAGCATGCTTCCCCAGTTTCAATTTTCCTATGATTTTAGCTGGTGACGCTTTCTAACCAATGAAGAGTTCATATTCTTAATTGTTTGAAAGGTGATTTGCAACATTTCAGATGGTATTATGCATTGTTTTCTGTCTTTTGATATATTAATCACAACTGTAGCCCCTTCTGTTGCAAATGTTTGATTTTAAAATTGTCACTTGTCAGCCAGTCCAATAGGCTATTTCAGAACCAATACAGTTTATGCATGGGAAGTTTGATGTTGAAACAATATTTATTTACATTCCCAGAGTGAGATGGTTTAATATATTCATGCTGCTATAAAAGACATGCTACAAAGCCTAATCGTATTTTGTGTATATACTATGTGTACAGAGAATCTTGCTTGTATTAAAATAAAAGAGAAATGAGGTTCTAAGTATCAATTTATAAAACAGTTCTTTGTAAAATGTTACAGTGTTTCGTGAAGAAACGTTCATTTAATGAAACATTGCCTATTGGTAAACGTCCATAGAAACGACCTTTTCTAAGATTCACAATAATAGTTCCCATCTATTTTTTTTTTTGTTTGCATTTCATAAAGTAGCTCGCTTCCCTCCCAGACAAACCCTGTTCCTGTACTTGCTGCACTAGATAAGCAACTCGCATGGGGAAAGAAAGAGCAGACAGCAGTGTGAGTGAACATACTTGTCATTCACGCACTGACCTGCTGTAAATACAAAAGCAAATGGAGACTTAAAAATGATGCTGCCCTTCCCCCAGACATGATTTTCTTTCTGCAACCTGTGGCTCTTTCCCAGCAGAACAGCTGGCAGATTTTATAGCTGCCATAGCAACCCTGCCGTCAGCCCGTTGGCTTGGCAACGTTGCAGCAGTGAGAAACACACTTCATGTCTCAACTGTCTGTAGACGCACAGAGGTGTTTTTTTCAGGTGGCATTTCTAAATGCTTATTTACTGTCCAATTTAATAAACTTTGCAATAAAAAATCCTATACAGTCCTTATTTGCCAGTGAAATCAGATCCTCTTCCCTGAAATCTTGCAAAGAATTAATATCCATTCCTTGCAATGTCACAGCAGATGGATCAAATCTCTGCAGCAGCTTCAACTGATCAAGCGGCAGTCCAGCTCCCCTCATGCCTTCTCCTCCAATGTGAGGTTCCTTTTTAAGTAACAAAGAAAAGCAAGTTATTGCATCAGTAAAGGTCTTAAGTGCCCTAAATGTATTCTGGTGAGTATATGCAGAGCTGCCTGTTCACATGGACTAGCTGGGTTTGTATTATTCATACCAGGGGAGGATTTAGAAGTCATGTGGCCCTTCTTTTGTTGCCTTTGACTGGCCAGTATGTGTAAAAGCATACATACAAGGGCCAAATTACTTTGAAGAGGTCATGGTGCACCTTATTCACTTTAGCCCAGTAGTTTAGAGCACTTGCTGAGGACAGGTACACAGGTTTAAATCGGTTCATTACTCAAAGGACAGAAACATCACAAGAAAGTTGTTATCACCAGATAAGGTCTACAGGTTTTAGGTTGCTGCTTTTAAATGATGCAGAACTTCTGTGTACTGACTGATAGCTACGTGTTAAGTCAAAAATAGTGAATCCTTAGCCAGTTACCAATATACTCAGTAACAGTAGTAGCAATAACTGGATTCTTCACATTAAAAATTTAACTGGAGACTGAAAGCCCCATACCAAAATACTCTGCTGCCTGAAGAGGCATTATTTTGGAAGATGAAGCAGCAGAAAAATCTGAACTTCGGATTTTCTGTCATGTAATTTAGACTAATGGGTAAATGGGACTACTGTTACCTGTGTAGGTATATGAGGGCAGAGAAAGATAAAGGAATGGCTTAGCTATCTGAATTCCGGAGATGCCATTTGGCATCAAAATCCTGGAGAAGAGAAGGGCTTAAAATCACTGCCCTTATCTTAGTATTTCTTGCGAATAGCCTTGACTGTTTCTTATTTATACCAATTCCTGGAAAAAAACCCTAATTCTTAACTAAGTGGATTGTTCTTTCAACGCATTCAGTAAGAAGATACAACAAAATGTGCAAAAGCTGGCATTGCAATATCAAAAATCAGTTTCCTTTGTAAATCTAGTGTAGTCTATAATGCAGCTTACCACAGAGCATTTTTTTGAGCCATCACACTTTGCTAACACAGGAGCTCACCCAGTCAGTACATGATGCAAGTTAGTTGCTTAACCACGTACTATATGCTGTAAAGCTGGGCATCCAAGCATTTGCAGCCTGATTCTTCTCTTCCTTTCCCTCAGCAGGATTTCAGTGCTTTCCAGGTAAGAGACAAAAAGAGGTGTCCATTGCAAATTGAGAAAAAGACAATATACAAAGGGAGATGAGGGTAGCAACTCGTAATAGATGGAAAGGTAGAAGTCTAGGGAAAACAGAACTACATCAGGCCAAACAACTCGCTCAGACAGACCAGTTTTCTCCTCTACCTTTTCCTTTTTCCTTCCAGTTAAGTTACTGCATTTAAGCTGATAATACAGTATCTCTTATGTAAGCCCTTAAGAGGAAGTAAGTCTGCACAGACAAAGAATCAGCTGCCATGCAGTAACCTCCACCTACGAGATAACACCCAAGGCTCCATCTCCTGTTCTTTCCTTACCCAACATTATTCCAGGACCTGTTGCTAATTTCAGAAAATGGGAGACAGTGAATTGGTTACTGAAGGAGGTGTTCACTGAGAGACTAGAAGAATACGGGAAATACATAAAGGAACATAAGGTAAGTCAACCCTAGACTGCAGTTCCTGTTCACTGGAAAAGATTACCTTACTTTACTGGGGAACTGGTTCTAAGATACTATAACCTTTCTGTAGGTAAACAATTCAGGATCATCTAATCTAAAATATACTATACACAAAGCTTAGTATTTGCAGATAGGGCATTTGTGTGTGAAAATTAGAGCTTTATTTAAGACATATTACTGGTGGGAGGAAGCTTATTAAGGAAGAATCTTGCATTTGAGTTAACAGGGCTTCTGTTTTGCATTCTTGATCTATCAAGGGTAATTTTTATGCTGTTAGGTAAATGTATAATCTCAGTTGAAACAGCTGGAACTGAAAAATTCCTAATAAATGGATGGTGAGAAAGCAGGCAGAAGGACCCTACATACAAATCACACGAATTTAACTTGTACACCTGTTGTATGTATTTTTTTAAATTTCAATTAAAAGATGCATCTAAACTTCTTAAGAGAGATGCAAGTCATCACAGAATGTATAAGCTAAACAGGTTAGACTTTTCCTCAAACTATGATGATAAACAACTAACCCACCCAACTCACCACATCAACAAAGAGGAAGAGAGACGCGTATGCTCTGACGATAAACTCTTTCAAGGTACTAATGAAGGTAACATATTTTTTAATGTATTCGATATAGGTAAAAGATTCTGCTATCTCCCTATATATTACCTCCTCCCATTCTTACTAATGGTAGACAATAACTCCAAAAATTACAAGGTAAATTCTTGGGATACTAAGCCTGAAGTAAATTTGTTCCCTCATTCCTTTACATATGCAAAAATAGCTCCCATACATATTAAATCCTCCTTCCTCAAAACACAAGGTTCTTTCCATTTATCTCCCATCCTCTGGGAGATACTACTACTTCACTACTTCAGTGGCATTAATAAAAAATTTTTCACTTCTCCTGTGAAGGTGCAAAAAAAGAAAACAAAATAAATGCATTAAAGAACAATTGCAAGAGAAATTTTACCCTGTCTGAACTATCTTCTGTCCCTTTTCTGTTTTAAATGACTTGTACAAATCAAAACAACCACGGCACACAGTGGGAAACTACTTAACAATCCCTAAATGAAGCTAAATTAAACATGAAAATAGATGTGAAAGAGCCTCAGAAATCCTTGTGTTATTTCTATCCACAGCAGTTAAAATTGTCTGCAGTGAAAAAGATTTATTGATAGTAAATATAGCATATGTCTGTACAGTGCCAAAACAAGCTCACTGGATTGTGTGAAATACCCTGAAAATACTGTTACCTGTGGCTGAAGCTGAAGGCATGGAAAAGTTTTCAGGGCCCAACCTACTTGCTCCTCATTTTCAGAGAGTGTAATCGTACATGTACTATATACTAAAACACCTCCTGGTTTCAGCAATTTCACTGCCTGCAGGAAGAAATAAACAATAGTTCAGCTTATTTTTAAATGCACAGACTTTCATATTAAGCAACACTAACCAAGAAACCATTAAGCTATAATATGAAAACTTAGCACTTAATTAAACTCAAATCTTTGTCTGAGATAGCCAATGAGGATACTAATTCTTCTCAGGAAATGCAGTAAAGGATCCTATGGATTATAAAGATTCTTCTTCTTTCCAAATCAGCGTTATAGCTCATGCAGTTTATTAATACCACTGTAATGATTCATCTTGTAAGATTTGTTATTTGTGCAGCTCTGCATATCCCAGACAAATTAGTTCTGTTTTCATCACCTGCTGCCAACCATTTATACACAATATTTTTTTCAGTGATATTAGATGCCAACTGTTTCCACGTCTTTGGCAGGGAAGCTATATATATGCTGCTTTTCAAGCTGTGGTTCACCTTGAATACATATAATTCAGCTTTTGACAAGCTTCATGAAACCTTGTCTTTCAGCATCAGCCGAAGCACACTTCTACTAGCATGAAAAATATGGCCTCCTGGCTTTGTTCTATGCAGTGAACTTACTTAAAAGAGTCTGTGCTGCTGCAGACAGAAGACTTTAACCTGTTCAATGACTGACTAGAAATTAGAAGTGATGAAACTGAGGGAATAAATTAAATAAATAAATAAATAAATAAAATCATAGAAGAAATCTCAAGTATCATCTTGTCCAACCTTTCCTGGCAAAGCATGTCCTAGACTAGATGGCCCAGCAGCCTGTCCAGATGAATCTTAGAAGTGTCCAACACTGGGGAGTCCACCACTTGCCTGAGAAGATCATTCCAATGGCTGATTGTGTTCAATCAGAATCTCCCCAGGAGTAACCTGTACCCACAACCCGTCACCTTTCCCATGTGACTCCTTGTAAAAGGGTATCTACAACTCTTTTGTAGCCACCCTGTAAATTCCACGACATGGTGATAAGGTCTCCCCTGAGCCTTGTTTTCTCAAGGCTGAAAAAAACCCGATTCTCTCAGCCTTTCTTCATGGGGCAGCTTCCCAATCCTTTGATCATCTTTGTGGCCCTTCTTTGGATTCTTTCCAGCCTGTCCACATCTTTTTTGCGTAGCAGGGACCAAAACTGAACACAGTATTCCAGGTGTGGCCTGAAAAGTGCTGAGTATAGTGGGACAATGACTTCTTTATCTCTGCTGGTGATGCTCTTTTTGATATAACCCAGCATCTTGTTGGCTTTCTGTGCTGCAGCACATATTGAGCTGCTTGTCCACCAGGACCCCCAGGTCCCTTTCCACAGAGCTGCTTCCAGCCAGGCAGATCCCAGCCAGTGCTGTACTCCTCAATTTTGTTTTCCTGGGTTCAAGACCTTATACTTGTCCTTGTTGAACATCGTAAGTTTCTTGTTAACTCAGTCTTTCAGCCTATCCAGATCATCCTGCACAATGGCTCTCTCTTCTGAAGTGCCCACTTCCCCGTGAATATAAAGGTTTTTATTTACTATAACTTACATGTACCTTTCCCATGCTCCAATGAATTGATTTCACCTAGCAGATATGGTGGAGCTGAGAGGTTAACTGGATCCTAACAAACACTTCTTTACTTAACTGCTGAAAAGGCAGGGAAAATGAGGTACCATTTTTCAGTATGAAGTTTGCTGCTGCAAAAGCATTTATGTTCAATTTAGCTTATCTACTCAATGACTAATACATACCACCGTGAAAAGCTTGCGCTGTAGTGGTTTATAAGAGGTCACTTCCTTTAAAGTCGAGGCATAAGCCATATTTGGTCTCTGTCCCATCCCACTACATGGAGCGTCAAGAAGAATTCTGTCAAATGACTCTGGTAGGAATGGAGGTCCTTCTGTAAAAAGCAGTTAGTAACGTGAAATGTAGCTCTTTTTTTCCTTTGAGACTTCACCATAGATAAGGACAAGCTGTTACTGTATCTATAGAACATTTATGCTATAGATAGTGTCTCTCAGCTAGAGAGAAGTCTCAGCATTGTTTGTGGTAGATTTCATCTTCCAGAAAACCAAAAAGTGTTAGTTCTGTGAGCTCAAACAATACATGATCCCTTTAGGCAATATTTTTTTAACCTTAACTTAATAATTCAAAAGTAGAATGTAAAAATGATCAAACAAAATGTTGAAATATGATTGGTCAGAGGTGCTGGCTACAGAGTTGTACATATAGGCTGTAATGAACCACAGTCAGCTCGTATCTGAACCAAGTGTGCAAATCTTCACTCAGAGAAGCCTGCAGTTAACAATTAAGGCTAATAATAATAAAAATAATTATAATAATTGGACTGTCTATATAATAACTATTTCTTTCAATGCATATATTTCTGTGGAAATACAGCACTTCAAAATAACATGAAATATTACAAGTTCTAATGTGTGACATGTGCTGTCTCCACAGCAGAACAATTCAGTAAACAAGGATTGTAAAGACAAGAACAATTTCTGAATATCACCTGGATAGATAAGAGAATGTGTAACTTCTGTTTGCAGAGCCTATCATTTCATCTGAATCCCACTGACTCAACAGCCCAAAAGTTTCTATTGCCTTAGGGCTAGAGAGACACTTCAGCTCAGCATCACCAAGACAAAAATGGTTCCATAAGTGTATCTGTGAGTCCCTAATGAGGAAGAGAGACATACATATATGCTTTATCTCCCTTCTTCCTTCTGTTTCTAAAATATTTGAGTTAGGTTATAAGTGAAAACAAGTGAGTGACTTCACACTACTGCTACCTAGCTTGTTCTAGCACTACAAAATGAGTCTATCTGATCCATTACTAAAATGTTCCAAATATTCCGTGTCTTACTTGCAGGGACGTACAGAAAAGCCTTTGTAATCTCTTAGTATTACAGCTAGCTCTTCATCTGTGTAAGTGCTACGTATCACCTACAATATTTTATGCTCATAGAAAGACTTTTAAGAAAGTACCTTTATTCCTCCAAAGCAGGAGTAACAGTAAGGCACAGAAAGAGTGAAGGTGAATTACACAACCTCATTCCTACTTAGGCTAACCAGTGACTGGGATAATCTACAGTGAGAAAGAACAGCATACTTTGCACACCAAACTAAAAATAATAAAGACAGAAGATAGATAACATTTAAATCATTCCATCATGGGAACAGAACCAGTATCATAAATACAGCACTTGAGAAAAGCAAATTAAATGAACTTAAAATAATACACTGTGCTTCCATAGAACTTTCCCTTGAACAGCTGAACAAACATCAATGAACTAAACCTTGCAGCACTCCTGGGAGTTAGGTATTAATAACCCATTTTACAAATGAGGATTCTAAGGCAGAAAAGCCAAGCAATTCTGCAAAAATATTTTTTTCTCTTAGACTAAGTCAATCAATTCAAAGTATGGGGTTAAACATTACCATGAATGAAGCTTTAAGGCTTCTTCAGTCTTTGATATTATCTGAGAAAGGAATGCATTTCCTTTGAGCATATTAGGTTGTGATAAGGACACATAGACAGTTTGTTAAAGGTTTGTATTTGCTTCATGGAGAAGCTGATCATCATAAAAGAGTAGAAAATAAATGTGTTCACAGTGCTAAAGCAACTTAGGTATCTGCCGAGATTTTAAGGACTTGCAGACCTGTGGCAGTTTTAATACTATCAGTTCACAACCTTACTATTTTCTTCAAAAAGCTATTACTACCTGAGTTACTTTACCTTGTTCATGCCCTTTCTTCTCAACTGAAAGTGCCTTTGTTCCATCATAGCAAAAAGCCTTAATGCAACTCAACTGTAGCAATTTGGCGTTCTGCTTAATTTTTTTGACCTTGTTAGCTATTTTGTCCATGGCTATTACTTCACCCTGAAATAAAAAAAGATGAACTCTTCATCAAAAGCATAAGGATCAAATGGATGTGAAGTTCCTGTTTTTCTCCCGCTGCCACAAGCAGTGTAACGAATGAAGTCTACAGAATGTTGTTATTCTTAAATCCACACTCCTGTAGTCTTTTTTCTCCCCTATTTTCCATGATACCCTCATTAGACTAGATACCAGTCTGAAGCTGTATGCATTCTGACTGGCACTAGATGCTTGTTATAGTTAATCCCTAAGGGTGCCTATATTGTGACTAATGGCAACTGGGTTTTTTGTTTGTTTCATGCTGTTTTGCTGGGCCATAACTTAGGTTAAAGTGTAAACATTTGAAAGAGCATAGAAGTCTCAAATGCATGGTAAAATAGGTCAACAGATTTTAAATTTGCATGGAGATGGTAGGAAACATGGTCACATCCAGCTCAGTCCTGAGGAAATGAGGCCCACAGCCATGCCTCTGGCTTGCTCAGACTCAACATACTGTTAAGACTTGCAGTAGTTGTCACTCAAGGTACTTTGGGAAATACAGTATATACTAGAATAAATTTTAGATGTGGGGGGAGGAAAACCACAATAATGCATTATTCCTTTTATGTAAGAATAAGATTTCTCTTTTCCTCTCCCAAGATAAACCAAAACAGACACACGCCACTATCTGGTAGATGAAATCTGTAAACACAAAGGAAGGAGTAGTATTAGTAACATCCAGAACAGTAATACCATCTTCAAGAAAACCCCAAAGGCCGAAATCCTCTAGTAGACTGGCTATAGCAAACAGAACCTGGTAAGAAACATGGCACCTTTTTTCTATTCAGTGATGGTCTTTAGAGGCTTACGGGAGGGTAACATGACTAAGACAGTGTAATAACTTTTATTTTAGTTATTAAACTGTTCTTAACCCATGGGCTTTTACCTTTTTCCAACTGTCCTCCCCATCCCACTGAGGAGGTGGTGGGGAGTAAGCAAGAGGCTGTATAGTACTTAGTTGCCAGCTGGGCTTAAACTGCGACACCATGTGCTGCTGCCTCTCACCTATCACTGTTCATCAACCTATTGTGCACACACACTAACAACTGATTGTGCTTCAAAGTTAGATCTGTTGCTAAAACAGTGGATTTGCTGCATGTGCACTGTACTGTGGATATAAAGAGATAACTCCTTCTCCTGACAGACTCTTAAAACAAAAGAACAAGCTGGAAGACAAGAGTCTTCTCTTACCTGGTCATGCATTAATGCTGCAAGATGGGTTGTTTTTCCTCCAGGTGCAGCACACATATCCAAAATTCTCTCTCCTGGCTGAGGGTTTAAAATATGGCTCACGACCACAGAAGGCAAATTCTAGCAAAAAAATAAAAGCAACAAATAAGGGAGAATTCAAACCTTATGTCCTCTATCAAGTCTTGCATTAAGGAATGTCATACTTGTTGAAATAAAAATTCATTCAGCAGTGAAGATACCTATGATATTGCTGTCAGATTCCTAGAGAGAATAAACTATTGAAATTACATAAAAGAGACAGTATTGGTCAGAAATCTCCAATAGCTCCTTTCTTATTTAAAGCTATATATGAGTATCTATGACTGAAGTTTAAGGGTTCATGACTATGGAGACTACAGTGCTAAAAGTCAAAATAAGCTGATATTATCAGAGACAGAGCAGCTCTGTATATTATGATTAATTTATATTGATGTTTATTTGAGTATTTACTGTATGAGCATACTAATGTAGTATAGTAACAAACAGTAAAATCAATAGGTAGGAGTTTAAACTTGCTGAATTAAGGTACCAAGAAGCTGAACTGTGCAATTAATGGTATAAACATAACAGATGCACTGAAGAGAAATAATATGCAATAATCGTTCACAGTATTGCATCTTACACAATATAGCAATACTCTGAAAGATTCTCTTCTAACTTGGTTCAACACAAAGATATAAAAACCTTTTTAAGTTGTCTTTACTACATGTTGTCTTTGGTTAGAAGTTTCAAGTTCCATGCCACAGTGTTCAAAAAAAATAAACACTAATTCACCTCACACATGGCAAATTCAAGTCAAAAAAGCTGGGCTCAAAGGGTTGTGATCAGTGGCACAAATTGCAGCTGGAGGTCAGTCAATAGTGGTAACTAAAAGTTACTAAAAGTATCTGCAAAAAGAATTTTAAGTTTTCAAGTGAGTATCTAAATAACTTTGAAATCCCTTACATATCTCAGATGCAGGATGCTTAAACATGCAGATATCAACTTCGTACTAAATGTTTCATTTTCTTTAAAGCCAAAGAGTAAATTAGGTGCCACATTTATAAAGTATTACTGTGTGCTTAGAGAATAGTCATTATTCTGCAAATAGTACAGACTTTAATTTTTGTAGCAAACATACCTGTAAAAACAATTGACTAGGGAGCACATTGTCAAAAGAAGGACTAAGGTAGACTGGCTCTATCATTCTTATGCCCATCCCTCTGAAAAACATGGAAAAAAAAATACAATCAACCACTTGGATTTATTATTAATAACAGTATTCAATTAAAATAATTATGCTTACAAATCAAAACTTGAAACAATAATCTTACAAAAATGAAAGCACATATAAATCAATTAAGAAAAATACTTAATTACATCATTAAGTTGGGTAAGCCAGAACAAAAAAGGCACTACATTATAAATTGGAAATAGCTGTAGAAAAATTCATAAAGCAAATTTTTATTTTTTGTACACAAGACAAACTGAGATCTAACCCAAGCCTTGATAATGTAAAGAAATACATTAAAGCACATTTAAATGCGTTAATTTCAAGCCATAACTGCTTTTGGCTAGCCATGTATGCACTAGGAAACTGGCATATGATTTCCCACTTACATCTTCCTCCATTTTCCTGGATTGCCTGAGATTTCAGTCAAATAACTAAAGAACTGCTATTTCAAAAGCCTTACAGGAATATTGATTTGCCTGCAACACAAGGCTTGAACTTAGAAGCAACCTAGCAGTTTTAAATATGGTTGAAGTTCTGACACAGGTTTCATTAAGTTAAGACAAAAAGGAAACAGCCAACAAGATAAACAAGGAGAAAGCAAACTTGCAGACACCAGATACAGTGTTACATACTGCCATTCCCTGTCATCAGCTCAAGAGGTATATCCTACCACTACTTCTACTATATTTGAGCTCTAATGCATCAGAAATTCTCTGACAATGTTATTTTTTTATTTTTTTTTTTACTAGACCTTTTGTAGTTTGTTCTCAGTCATTAATTTAAGGTCCATGCTCTTCTATCTACCCTGCTTTTTATATGTATTCTAGTATAGCATACCTTAGTATTTTAGATGACAGAAGTGAACAAACCATATGCTTTCGCAACAAAATAGAAAAGCAAGTAATCTTGAAATAGGTAACTACCTTGGCAAATGGTTGGTTGGTTGGTTGGTTGAAGATGTCTGACCTTATGTTCTGTCCCCTGCCCCACCAAAAAAAAGCCCCTACAAATATTTTTAGGAGATGAGAAAATGATAAGGCTGCGCTGCTGTTCCATCCAAATAGGAAATTGTTCTGTCGGTACAGAGCAATTTACTGAAATGCAGTTTTTCCATAGTGAGAATGTCCGTCACTTCTGTTTTTTCTATATTATTGAAGTCATATCCTACATAAATTCTAAAAAGGCTTTCATTTCTTCTCTCCTACCTCTCAAGCAAAGTGGTATCTGGTACTACCATGAAACTAAATGTTGAGTCTTCTAATACTTACTGTAGTACTTTAATCAGAATTGCCATCACACTACTGCTACCTTATTTGTGAAGTTACAGACAGCAGGAGGCACAATTCTATTATATACCCAGAAACTAACACTTCCTAAAAAATACTGGAAATCCCAACATGTAACACAGGTCTCGGTGAAAGCCACCCTGGTGCTTTATGTAGGGTACTGAGCATTTCAAAATGTCTTCCTATCTTCCTTCCCTTTGCGAAGTTATAGGTGTAGACTGCAGTTACTATGGACTTACTTCAATGGGCCACTTGAACTGAAGATTTCACTGCGACTCAGTTCGGAAATCCCATTTCCAAGGAAAACTTTGACTCCTTCAAATTCTTTGGCTCCTTTTTTACATTTCCCTTCAATATCTGAATACACAGAGACCAGATCTCCAGCTTTCAGAACTGCACAAGAACAGAAATTTTGAAATTAACTACTTGACAAGACAGTAATGACCAAATAATTCAGGATTTTCAGTAGACTATGTACTTCAACTCCTATATCACAGCAAACTTTAAGCTTTCTTAATGTAATCAAAGAAGAAGATGAAATGATACTAGACTTGAAAGGGTACATGATGAACAACGCCTACTAAATGACCAGAGCTATTGAGAGACACAAGGTTACAAATCAGACCGTGTGTCTTGTTTTTAAAGAGGACAGACAAATCTTCAGGGTTTTTTTATTATGGCATGGTCACCTTTAAGTTCTAAGCACACTCTTTGGGATTCAGTCCTCTGTGTATGCTCCAAGCATGCAAGCATCAAACACACTTAGTGTACAAAGGCAATAATAATTTCTCCAATGACCTCTCAATAACTAGGTAGAACATAGCTATAGCTGCTTTTTCTGTAACTATTGCTTTCATACCAGTGATTATATATTCTTGTAGAAATAATTTTTCTGGTGGGGCGCTCTTTGCTCTAAGGCAACTGCTGTTCTCAATAATCCTCTAGAAGAGTTTTACGTCTGGAATTAAACCCTTCAGAACAGTAAAGTATGTAAATATGAACCAAATTTTAGAAGTTTCCTAGGGACTTAAACAAACTTTTTGAGCTAGAATAAAAAGAGATGGAAAAGAAAGATGGTTTTAGGTGATTTTTTTGTAATAGTAAGCAAGCTCTATGCACTGGCTGGCTGAAAAAATAAGCTTAAAAATAAAGGTCTCCACTGAAAGCAATAAACAATTTTCAAAAATTACATTTCTGACGTGTCTGGCTAGCCAGAGCAACTAGAAGATATGACAAGTAAGACTAATGGCAGTTCAGCTTCCCAACAAGTCTTTGAAATGTACGACAGCCTATTGTTATTGTCTGCTTAAACTTCTGTCCTCGGTTCAGCTATGGCAGTCAAACTTCCAGCAATTTAACTCTTCCATCAAGCATTTTTGCCAGTGATTTTTTGCAGTATTCAAACATAAAGGATTTTATTTCACTCTCTGCTGACAACAGTGTTTTTGAAATGCATTAATATTATGTATGGTTTTTAAGCTTTTTGTAGCTTATACTGGCATTCCATAAACATAGAGTTTGATTAGTTAAATTAAACTCAAAGCCCTCTGATAATTAGTTTACCCTCATTTGGGTTTCAAGTTCAGTGATTAAATATGTGTTCTTGCTGTACTCTTTTTATCCCTATTTAGACCATCTGTGCTTAATAGAGCCTTATTATATTTGGCCTCAAGTGTGTAGGATGCCCTTTTATTTTATTTTCCTGTCTGCAATTCCCCTGAAGTGTTCCTAAAGTTTTATAGTATCTTTTATTTTCTTTGAATTGATGTTGCATGCATAATTACATGCAGCAATTATGATAAATCACTAGCTGACTCAAAGGGGGATTTGAATATTTATGAGGTTGTCTAAATAAGCAGTTTCAGCAACTGCCATAGCAATATACTTATTTCATTATCATTTCCTAGAATGAAAAACATTCCTGTTCAGTGAATTGGACTTAAGCACATGCTTAAAACTTCTTGAAGGTTTTCTCCTAAAAGGGAATGAAGTTAAGTGGCTAGATAAATGCTTTCCTGACTCACTTTGTTTAATAATAAGAACCGTGATGAATAGTAGATCTTATCACAATAGAATAATGAGGTGAATCATCCAAAATTATACTAATTTCACATAAAGTTAATTTGACCTTTAAATAAAAACTAAATAAGCTGCTGAACACCAAGCATGCATATGTAGATTTTTTATCTTGTCTCACAGGCATTGAAATAAAAATTTCCACTTTTTAAGAATCTGATATTAAAATTGAAAATTTTTCTCATCAATAGAAAAAGAAACTTTTTACTAGATCTCGCACACATAAACAATAGCAAATGAATCACCAATGCATTTAAAAAAAAAAGAAAACCTATTTTTTTTAGATCTGTAACTTAGAATCTGACAGGATCATGAAGGCAAATGTCTTTGTGACTGAAAAAATAATTTATCTGGAAGTAGTATTTATTAAATAATTAACATGCATCCAGTTATCATAGAGATGTATCTGTTGCCGCATTCCTTTTATTCTGTTTACAAGACTGGAAAGTGGCAAAGTTCTCTGGGTTAATTCTACTGAACATTCGTATTAAAAGTTACAGTGTTCAGTGGTAGGAAAAATCTCTTAAAAAGACAGGTTTTACTTTCAACATGCTCTTTAAAATGATTTTCATATAAAAACAAGAAACTGAAATCCTTGACAACTAAAACTTCCGCTAGGAATTACATATTGAAAAAGCAACTGTGAATAGAAAAAAAAAAGTCACTATTTATTGGAAACTGTCATCAAACAGTGACACTTTTTCTGTCCTCTTTACAACTTAAATGGGTGTATTATAGAATTCTTACATCTTGAGGTAGATATGATTCCAGGGACATAAACATGTGCTCCTCGAAGTACTGCATATCCACATTGGGCTCCAACAATGACTTCAGATGCATGTTTTTTTAAATCTCGCCTAAAAATACAAAATTTAGTTCAGTTTAAAAGGGGAAAAAAAAAAGAGAGTACTGAAAAAAATATCCCCCAAGTAAAATCTAGTTCATAAATACTCGTTTTGTCACAGCACAATAGCAATAATAGTTAACTATCCTGTATTACACTGAAAAGAATTATTTTAGTCCCAGAGGAATCAAAGGAAAGAGCCAAGAAGGAAACCAGTTCTCAAAATATATTCTGGTACATTCTGCCACTATTATGAACCTGACACAAGAATACAAAGAAATTATACTGAGATGGAGAAATAATCCTCTATCCCTTCCTAGGCCAAATGATTGTAATGTGAATTTCTTGTGTTTAACAACTGCTAAATGTTTCTATAGTAAATGTGTAGCCAGGTGCTAGGAACTCCACCAGTAGGAACTGTGAACAAGATACTTACTCGAACATTTTAAAGTGTAAACATATCTGAATATAAATAAACCAGAATGTTCAGAGAAAGATGCTACAAAAGAGAATTAAATTGACAAAGAACAAATAAAAGAATTAAATGCTATTTTAGAACCTACAGCATTTACATACTGTTATGAATCTCTAGCTAATCACGATATAAACTGGATCTTAAGCATGTTAGTCTTCATTATGAAAATACTTTAAATAAAATCACCATCAATGAATTCAACAAAACAGTCAAGACACTCCATAGGGGCAGACACAAATGCATAATGGAAAATATCCAAACATATCTTAAGAACGAAGAACAAATAGTCACTTTGTAGGGGATAAAATTGATTGATGAACCCTTTCACATTAAATTCTGCTCTGAACTTGATTCTAGTGGAAGAAAACCCTGGCTGTATTTAGCTATAGTTCTATATTCCACTGCTAAAGTTTAATTCTTCTGTCTGCCACCTAGCTGGCTTTCCAGATAGGATGTACTTATGTTACATTTTTCATATAAAAACTAAATCTCATCAATAAGGAGAGAACTCTCTCTATGTTTTCTTACGTATTTTAAGAACTAGAACTCTCACCTGGTTAGGATATGGACTGTCCACTAGGTCTTAATATAAACAGAGTTGTATTTCCTTTACAGTGAGCTAGTTATCATAACTGTTTAACAAGAAATCTGCAAGTGAAATATGTGTTATGACAAGCCAAAAGACTTGAAAATTTCAAACCTGGGTCCAATGACAGGAATTAATAGGATGTCCTGGAGTTTCGGGTGCTCAAGAACTGGAACACATTGTCCTTTAAATTGCTGTTTCATTAAAAAACATAATTATTAAGCAATACTAACAGATCTAATACTTAAGTACTTAATTAGACTTAAAACTATTTTTCCATTCAAATTTATAGCTGTATAGTACAAAAAAAACCAATCAAACAAACACCCGAAAGTAATGAAACAGTTAAGAGAGGCTGGGTAGTTGTGTGTAAGTGTCGTGGTTTAAGCCCAGCCGGCA